CGACGATGATGAAATAACAGTAAGGCTGCCAACAGAAGAAAAGCGCCAACAGGATGGTGGCGGTTGTCTTAGCAGCTTTGACATTCTTGAAATACATCCTTTTTTCTTCTTTAGTAGGTTCCCGGATGGAGGGGAAAGCCATCTCGTTTGGTATATCGATTGTTTTTGACAGCACTACGGTAAATCAAGAAAAAAAGAGCGAAGAATGTTGTATTCTTTAGTATAGGGCAGCATACAGTTGTCTTTATCATCTGGCTCTCCCTTTTCTCTCCAACCCATGAAGACAAAAAGTGCCCATAAAATGCTGTAGAGCCAGATTACCACGATGACTAGTAAGGCTCTTTTTTGAGTCATGAATTGTGAGCTCTTAAACCGAGCCAGAGGATCTCTCAGGGTCTTGTATCTATCCACGCATTTTGGATTACTTCAACAATTTGACGCCAGTGATGGAAACAAGCTAAATATTTGAAGCATCAATAATATATCCAACAGTATTGATCTGTTCAACCGCGATAATTGAGTTTTGGCAGAGTTCACTACTTTTGTTATTATTTTTAACTATGTCTCGACATCCATTTGGGGTGACACTGGATGAGCAACTGACACTATTATCGGTAAAACATGCACAGCTGTTATCTAACTTACTCGGTGGGGAAACGTGATAGCTGCTGTATACAAAAAGGACTGAACCTAAAGCTGTAATCACGTGAAATGTCGCGAGAACAGGATAACAATAGGCATTCTGCGCGATGCTAAAAAAAGAGGAATGATGACGGAGCGAAGAGAGGCAGGAATCAACTCCATAGGTAAAAAAAAACCTGACCTGAAGCCGCAGCTTTCTGACCAGACACGCTTTCGAGAAAAAAGTAAATCTGGCAATTAAGCAACCAAAATGATAAATTGTTGTGGATTTCTTCAGCTGCGATTTTACCGACATGCCTCCTCTTTGTAATGAGCGAGAGAAAAACACGTGCATAATCGTGTCGGTGTTGATTCCTGCCTCTCTTCGCTCCGTCATCATTCCTCTTTTTTTTTTAGCATCGCGCAGAATGCCTATTGTTATCCTGTTCTCGCGACATTAACTTACAGTAGAAAAACAATTATAGATCTGTAATATTAGCAGCAAAGCGTAATCTGGAGAGCTTTGATTGGTCAAAGATTACGAAAGCAATCATATTGATACGCCGTTAATTTTAGAATCTGCTTTTTTTGTGATATAAACTCATGGTGAGGAAAGGAAGTCGGAAAATGAACAAAGCCACAGCAATATTTCCTGTTAAGCTGTTCCCTCCGGCCTTCTGGGCAAACACTTTTCAAAGAAGCTTTTGACATGTTCGATGACTGATACTTGTGTGCCTAGGATGTTGAAAAATCGTTCAAAATCGGGGGAAAAGGACACCGAAATGAAATTCGAGATACCATTCTTTCTTCAAAAACAAATTAAACACTTCCTTCTTAGTTTGCTATCATCACTTAAATTAATATATCGTAGTCGATTGGGAAAGCTAGTTTACTTAACTAGCTATCTCAATTGAGGATTTACCTTGTAGGCGAAAGAAACGCCCTTTGTCGCTAGTTGATTAGCCCTGACTCCCTCCTGAGGCAACTGTGTCCTCATTACAAAGCCTTGGGCTCGCACTTATTGGCTACAAAAACCGCATACAGCACGTAGTGAGGGCTTAGCTAGAGATTTGCAGGTCGACCGTCTTTGAGGATAGGGTTTCAACAGACGCGTAACACGATCGCACGGATCTACGATCAATCATTACGATCGATCGCACGGATCTACGATCAATCATTACGATCAAGACGCGCTGCGAAGAGGAAATGCAATAAATTGAGACTCTTCTGTTCCGTGTTGCTTCACAGTTCAATTTTCGCTCCTCAGTTCGTTGCGTTCGTTGTTGGGTTTACTTCCTCTTTTGAGCCAGCGAGGTCGGTCAGCGAGAAAATTTCCAAAGCACTCTGGGACGGATCCTGGGACAGCGGAAACTAAAGAGAATGTTGATATGGTATCTGGCGGTATTTGAAGTTTAAAACAATCATGTTTGGAAAGAAAAAGCCCAATGATCCCTCTGCTGAATGGACAAAGACTGGCAGTTTTGTTCACAAGCCTCAGAGGGGATGGCTTCATTCAGACAATTCGCTGAAGGAAGGCGGAGTTTGTTACGCTGTGAAAGTGAGTTGATGCTATGATCGATATTTTGAAACTCAAATAATTTTCCTACAAATTAATTCAGTGAGTCCATTCACGTTCGATTTCAAGGTATTTTTGTTTCTCCCCTGTAAATCTGTTACAAATCAGAGTTTGATTATATTCAAGTCGAGGCAACTTTGATTCGCGGCCATCAAAATACCGCACAAGAGGGATCTTACCAGAATTAGTGTTTCGATCGATGAGGATTCCGAATTAATCTGTTTTTAATCATTGTTCACAGTATGTTGGCTGTTTACAAGTTCTAAAGTCCATGCGAACTCTCCCGTATGATCTTCGACAACAAGTTACAAGGTAAAATTTTAACTCTAACGAACATCAGGAACTTCTACGCAGTAATTCTATACGTATACATGTTCACTCGTGTTATTTAAAAACAAAAGAACGTAACAAGGTTTCTATCTGACATCATCGATGAAATAGCGTCCCATGAAATCATAAAATAGTGGCTCCAAAATAAGGCAAAGATTATGCTCTTTATGCTCTGTGTATCTAAATGACTATAAATGACTATCTAAGTTTGTAAACAGTAATTGATTTTTTGAGAAAGATTGAGTTACATTTTTTTTTATCACGCAAACATCATGATTTAATATTCATACCTTTGAGTTGGTAAAATTTTTAGAGTTATTGTATACTTTACATTCGCAGATCTTGAAATACTTTAAATCAACTACAGTATATCTCAGTTTAAGTGTTTCAGAAGAGGAAAAGTGTTCTTGGCCTTAAATTAATTCTTCCTCCCATGTTTGACCCCTCTATGGTTATAGTTTCCGACCTGTTTATTTCGTCAACATAAAATTTATGTGGTAATGCAGTGACATTTATGTAGTATCACCGAGGCTCACTAACTCCTGGCTTATCTGGGAATTGAAGTGTACAGTACAAATCTCCAAGTCTCTCTCGGCAGTTCAAGTGACAGTAAATCTCTCATATGAAGTTGACTTGGATTTTGGACTCAAAGATTATTTTTTTGTCTTTAAACAAAAATGAAAAGGGATTATGAAAAAAAGTTTGGTTTTTTTTAGGCTAGCTAGGAGTTATTTTTTCTTATTTCAAATAGTGAGTGTTCTTTCCAATGGCTTTTCATTGGTTGAGAGAGACTGACCAAAGTGAAAAATTACCAAATTTAGACAGGGGCCTATTTTACCTATTTTGCTTATTTCGATTAATGGGTATTCTTTGCAATGACTTTTTATTGACTGAGAGAGGCTGACTAAAGTGAAAATTACCAAATTTAGGAAGGGTTGGGGATGACTGACTCAAAGTAACAAATTTCCAGAGGGTGGTGTCTTAATGGCAGTGTGATGTGGAAATCAAAATAGAATCATTAGCAATGTTTACTCTTTTTTTTACTTTTTAAATCTCAAAACTTATGTATCTATTCTTTTACACTTCAATCTACGATATATTTCTTGTTTAATTAGCTCTGAGAATTTGCTTTTAAATCAAACAATATTCCTTACTGAATATTTTTCTTCAGTTTCATTTACATTCCTCTCTGAAGTTAAAGAGATAACCATCAAAGAATTATGTGATGGATATTCAATTTTCCCTGTTCAAACTCTCATACAATTTTGCTGCAGACCTATTCACCAAATAACTCCCAGGATGTGATTCTTAATTCTTCCCTGTAGCTGCTACACATTTCCTTCTAAATTAGTAACAAGAATTCGGTGTTAGATCAAGAAAACAACTACCTGGAGTGATAAGTTTGAGTATTCTCATTACCTGTGTGCTGGATAATGTATAGATAAAATGGAGAGAAGTTATCTGATAATCACTTCTGGGAGTAAATTAATTTAATAAATAAAGTATTGATTCAGAAACATTTTTGACCTCAAATGTGTTTCGATAAATATCATGGTGATATTTTTTGCATTGTAGGGAAGCTATCTTGAGATGTTCTGAAGCTGCTGGCTATCAGCTGTCAAGGAGAAAGAAGGTATGTTATGGAGAAAGGTAATAACTTTAGAAAAAATTTTCAACCAGCATAATTAAAAGTTATCAATGGCTTTTAATGTCCTTTTTACTCTTCTGCTCCCTCTCTGATATCTTTCACAGTGGCCAGGGTATACAGGGAAAAAAACAATCACCAACAACTTGAGTGTTCCTGTACATTTTCTTTATTGAAAATAAAATCTTTTTTCTAGAGGGCTGTACTCCCACAAAGCTTTTTATCATGATGATATATTTTGAGTTAGGTATAATTATGATCAGTCAAAATTTTTAACGGCATTTTTTGTGGTCTTTATCAGGCAGGAAAGAACATACAAAAGCTTCTAGGAGGTAATGATTGGAAGGATGTACTATTGTTAAGTCAGTTATGCTATAATTTGTTTTTTGGAACTGTGACTATTACTTTTTTGATTACCCTGCTCAAAATTAAACATGACTTTCTATGTTTGTTGAACACAAGTTATGCAGTTTATGATAAGGATGCATTAACTTGAATGTTCATGTACCTTGCACATTTAATTAAGGCTTTTTCATAATCTTGAACTTTATTCAAGTGTTAAATGAATCCCAAAAAAATGTGGTAGTCCTTTTGATATTATGAAACTGAATGCTAAAGGTTTTTTCTTTATCTGTGGGAGCCTGCTGAGGATAAAAATGTTACCCTGTTGACACAAAAAAATGTGAGAACCAATAAGATT